CCTCTTTTCAAGATGCAGCACCTGGTCCATTTTGTACATCCTTTAGGGAAACTGTTTCATATCCTTGTATGCTTTTGAATGCTGGGATGTGGGGTGCATATATGAAGGAGTTCTGATTTTCTGAATTGAGTGCTGTGTAGGAGCAAGAGAACAGGTTTTGTTGCAGGTTGTGCAGCTCATTCACCACAGTGCATTGTATCTTCTGTGGTCTGCAAAGCTGTTACTGGTAGCAAGCTGTGACAACTATTAAATGTCAAGTTTGGAGGCAGAGATGTTAGATAATCTATTAGAAGAATTGTATTATAGCCTGGGTAACAAACAGAATAAGCAGTATTTTCTATGAGATTCTTCAAAGTGTCAGTAGTTACATAGTAAAATATGATTGTTTTAGCCTGATGTTTATCATTCTTTATATACAATTTTATACAAATTTTAGAGAAGTAAAATATTTTTTGTCCCTTGATAAAGAAGCCCATTTCACAATCAGAAAATGTGGTTAGAACTGTGAATGAGAACCATGTCTAACAGAGCAAGTCTCTTTCAACAATTTGTGTGGCTTTGGGGAAGATTTCTTCTTTTCTGTTGTAACTAGACTTTTCTTACATGCTTTGTCCTACTCTCCTTCTCTGCTGTAGGATTTTGCTCCAGTGTTGTCTTCATTTGTCTTGAGTATCACCAATACTTTAAACAGTGGAAGTCAGAGCTAGCTATTAAACTGTCTGTAAATATCTTTTCCACTGTTATTAGACCTCAGAGGCAACATGAGGGTGTACATGTGCATTGCAACATTTTGTTTAGGAAGCTCACAAGAACATTACAAACATTTTCTCTTGTCCTTATAATTCTAAATCATGAAACTTTTTATATGGGATTTACCAACACCATGTAATCGTGTTAGGAATTTTAGTTCCATTTTAAAAACTAACTTGGTCACTCAGGAGTCTAATATACAAAAATAATCCGTAGGACTTTACCTTCCTAAATACTTTACTCACTCTGAAAATCAGTTTTACTTTTAGAACGAGTTAGGAGATTGAACAAACCTTTTACTCCATCCCACGTTCATGGCTTTGGTACTACAGCTAAGGAATTCCAAATCAGTTTTCTGAATGCCACTTTTACAAAATAGACCAAGGCCTAAACTGTCAGGATGAAAAACATATGGATCCAATGGCCTTTTTAAATAAAATGCTCCTGATGCTCCTGATCAGATGTCCATGTTGTTTATGATAATATGATAATTGAAAAAGGTTAAAATATGAGTTCCTTATTTTTGACAGCAGACAGCAAAGGTTGATGTGCCAGTACAGAAGCTATTTCCATTGGTGTGTTTCCCATGCACTATTTTACCTACTTTACAAAACCTTCTTGTCTAAAAGGGAAATGTCTTTTCCTTGATTAGGATAGGTTTTGAGGAGACTTACCAAGTCTTTTGAAAACTCATTAATTAGGAGTGCAGCTCCAGACTTTTGAAACATATCCTTTTTATCCCTTACTTTTTGGCTTTAGGGAAATAGCTGAATTAATACAAGTGACATAATTGGAGAGAATGCCACGTAATGAAGGGTTCTTTAATCAATAGATTATTCTAGCGGGTTTTCCATCATTGCAAGCCTTAAAACCAAGATAGGATATCTTTCTCAGAGGTAGTGAAAATGTATGTCCTTCCTTATAAAGCTGATGATTATTTCCTCTGGCTTTGAAACTCATGAGTCCCTGGGATTCTTGTTCATAGTAAACAGCACTTGCAGACATGATTGATATTCAGAGAGTCCAATCCCTGAGTCATCTGTGCATGTTCCTTTCTAAAAGCCCTCTCTGCACATCTACTGTGTGGGAACTAACATCTGCGGGTTATTGCAGAATTGCTAGGGAGGAATATAAATGTCGCCATAAAAGATTGCTATTGTAATATGCTTGATAAAAGTACCGTTGCTGAGTAACCTAATTCATCTTGAGAGTAAAAGTAAGGAGTTCCTAAAGGTATCCAGAAGGAAAGTTTAAACAGAATAACACAAATTAGTCAGTTTTCTGACAAATACGACTAGTTCCTAATTTATATGACCTTTATAAGTAAGAATAACAGGAAAAATTATTATGCCAGTTAGGAAGCAGAAAGAGACAACATGTTTTTTCCCTTGGTCTGTTCAGCCTGGAGGAGACTGAGGGGAGACCTCATTGCAGTGTACAATTTCCTTGTGAGGGGAAGAAGAGGGGCAGACACTGATCTCTGTTGAGCCACACAGATGCTCCGCTGGTGACAGGCCGTTGGTGATGTGCACAGAAAAGATTGAATTTCAGGACACCAGGAGGATTTTATGTCTGGCCTCTCAAGCTGGATCTGCCTTTTAATTTAGTCATACATCCAAGCCATCTCTGCACTTTGCAGCTTCTTGAGCAGCATATCTAAGATCAATTCTTTGCTTACTTCCCAGATTACTGCAGGTTTTAGGCAAATCCACAGGAGAATGACTGCGACAGGCAGCCAAGGTGTTTCAGTGGATGAGCTTGGCCCCTCCAAGGAGTCAGGCTGGGTGTGGGTAGCCAGGACCCATAGAATGAGAGCCCACAGTCCCAAATCTGCTCTGAGTATGCCAACACTGTCTTTGCAGAAAAACTTTTCCCATTTTACACTGTTTGATGATGCTAATGTGCAATGCCTCTCGTGCAGTGCTGTTTAACAGGAAGTTTTCACATCTCAACTCAATTTCTTAATCATGTGCAGAAATTTTGAAAGCTCTGATGTTGCTATCAGTAAGGCAATTTTTATCTTGGGCTCAATTTAGAAAATCATTTTATACAATTAATTGATGTGTCTGTTTAGTTAAAATAATATATTTTTATAGAGGAAAAATATAAACATCATTTAAGGCTGATTTTAGTTCTCATGTTAATGCTATTTTTATTGTCAAATACTTTCGTCATATTGTGATTCAGCCAAACCTGAATTAGAAAAACATAATCAAAATATTATTAAGCAAGATTTATACTGGCGATGTGTCGAATAATATACCTCTTAATTTTCAGAGATCTAAATGTTAATTTAGTTAAATGTAAGCAAAATGCCATTCCATTTGCAGCACATTAGGTGGTTTTGCTATCAGCTAATTTAGAGAGAGTTTGTTTTTACCCCTGATTGTGATGAAGCATCTACAATTAAATTAATATCTTGAACAATGCAAATTGAACAATGGCAGTGAAATCCTATATGCACATGCTATTTCCCTGAACCTTTTAATGCACCTTGGTCTCCTGGGAGAGAGAATTCGCTGTGATTAGATATTCCTGGAGGAAGCCATTTAGAGACAAAAGGAAGAGTGGGCAACAGGTTCAGATACAAAGAAATGATGTGGCAAATGAAAGTTTTGGCTTTCCCTTTCTGTTTCATCCATCCAAGAGCAAGAAATCTCTCTCATTCATAGCTGGGTTTAAGCCATCTGATGCAAGTGACACAATTTACCTATGGGGAAGAGAGGATACAAAGCACTGAAAAGGCTTGGTGCAGTAAGCACATCCCACGATGTCCCAGTAATGGGTAGTTGTGGAAAGAGGCTGCAGCAGTGCTGTAGAGCTGCCTGACATGGGCAGTTTCCTGCAGGCTGGGTCTCCAGACTTATTTCTGAGTTGTCATTTAGCTGCCCCTTCTCTTGTACCTACACTTCGGTTACACGGGATCTTCATGCTTTTGGCAGACAAAAAACACGTAGAAATTCTGGGTGAATAGCCACTGTACATGACCCAAACAATTCTGCTGTACAAGGGACATAAATCTCAACCCATGCTATGCACATCATGCACACGTGTTGTTCCACACATCGAGACTCACACAGCACTTCTGCTTTGTGAATTTTACAGATGCATCAAGGGGGAACAGTTTTTCCATAGGTTTATGGAATTATTAATGGTAATAACTTCAACATAATTCCATTTATTATATATAAAACACATTTACAAATTCTAGGTTCACACAGGTCAGTGACCTGAAGGAAAATATCCCCCTTACTTTCAAACAAGAGCCCTTCAGCACAGCTGTGATTAATGAATAATTGAGGAAAAAAAGATTTTTATGGGGAATTCACTAGAAGAGAGAACATATGTGCGTATACAAACAGACAGTTTTTATGTTGAACTGTGAGCATGTAGAGAATTATTTCATCTAACTGAATGTCAGTCCCTTAGCATCAGTGGTGGTGAATAACAATTTGTAGAGTTATTGTTGAAAACAGTTGGTTTAGTTTTGGGGCATTGTCCCCTAAATTATGAGTGCAAGTTCCATTTTAAGCTCCATCCTTTAAAAATTGTTTCTGTATGGAACCTTGTATTTTAAAATCTTGTAACCTACAGATCCACAGTACTTTCAGTCATGCTGTTGCAATCTGGATTGTGATCCACTGGGGCAAATATGTAAAAGAACTCCATTGAGCTGTACTGGTGCATGCCCTAATCCATCTTGTTTTCTTTATTATTCAATAACAGTTTTGAACAGCCCACTCTAGGCTGTGTGTTACACAGGAACAGAACAATTGCAGTGTTCGAACTGTAATAATTCTGAATGAAAAATGCAAAGAAGGATACATTTTCATTCTTCTAACATTGCTCCCAGGAATACCATGCTGTATCTCACTTTTCTCATAGTGATTATGGAAGCTATTGTGTAACCCTGCAAAGCTCAGATGTTACCATGGGAGAAGAATAAGGGTCTTGCTGACTCGTTTCATGAATGAATAACCCAGAAATACATTAACAAATCTGACCACAGCTGGAAGATTCCCTATAGCTGAACAGAATTTGGAGAATACCTTCAAAATTATATTTTCTTTTTATTTTCAACTTATATTAAATCAGATCTGGATTGATATAACAAGTGAATATACTGTGAAATGTTCTGGAAAAAACTTTGAACTTCCTCTGCATTTGGTTAATAATGAACTTAAAATACTTTCTTGCAGTTTCATCCAAAAAATCAAGCATTAACAGAGGCAAAATACCATTGGCCTGTCCCAGGATTTTGGGTCATGTTTATTCTGTGCTGGAATTTCATGCCCCCTGTTCAGTTACTTACGCACTCTGTTTAGAAACACATCTGACTGATTAACCAAGAACTGTTCTATTAGCACATCTACATGCCTTTGCAAATAAGAGATTTTCTAACACAGGTACAGAGTAATTATTCACAGACTGAGGTAAAAGCCAGCAATCAGAAAACCTTTCACAAAACAGAGAATGAGCTGCAAAGCCCATGCAAACTGCAAGGGACCTCAGGCCATACGGTTTTATTTGTAATCATAGCCTAATTTTGCTGGATCAGTTTCTTTTTTTTTTAACATCATTATATCAGTTTTATCTGCCAAAACTTTAGTAAAATTAAATACAGATTCTCAAATCCTCAAAACCAGATGCCATACAGTAGGACAAGAAGGAAAGTGACACACAAAACAATTCCAATGTAAGATGTTGGAGGAATGTATCAGTTGAGATTAAGTAACAGTGGCTAAGACCACCGCAAGTGCAACTTCCTAAGTAACTGACTTCTCTGTTTCCCAACCCAAATGGAAAATAAAAGTCAGAACAAAAATTTATTTGAGGCTAACAAAACCATAGATTCGACAGGAAGTAGAACAATTTGGTTCTGAGTATTTTAAATTTTTCTGAATTGTAACATATTTAGTAATGAAATACCCTGTCAAAATAAATTAGGCAAATTGTTTTTCACTTCCATTTTTTGTCTTTTTTTTAGCTGAAAATATCTAAGGAAACATCTACTGTATTGTGCTTGCTTATAAAGTGTTCTGATGAAATCCAAATGTTAATATTTCTGGAGATGATTTTAATTGCTGCAAGAGCTCTATTTAGCTTTTTCACAAAGATTCTTTTATAAGTTCAGCCAGTCTCTTGAAGGCCTGCAATGACAAAAATGTGTTTCACATTTATATTTAGCATTACATAAACAGACAACACATCAAACCTGTTAAACTACTAAAACTGCCCTAACCATACACAAACAATAAAAAAGCAATAGAAGTGCTTATCTTTACAAAACTTCACAACTGAATGAAATTATAACTACAAATATTGAACTGTTTCAAGCATCTGAATCAAATGAGTATTAAATCTGCACAAATAGATGTCTCCTATCTTTCTTCCCACTGATTTTACAGATAGAGCCAAGAACATAAAAAATGCTCCTAAAACACATACAAGAGTAATTATTGAGAAATAAAATAAAACATATATGTAAATTGTATGAAAGAAAAACAATATTCTTTCTTACAAAAGATTGACAACACCCACATAAAAGAAAACAGGTAACTCAGAATCTTGGGAATGGACAGTCTGGAAAATAAAAGATACATGATGCCTGCTAATGCTTAAGGAAACAGCAGAACTTACTACTTACTCTGACTTCAGTAAAGCATTTATAAATAATGTCTGGGACATTTAAGTGTGAAACTCTGCATGTATGAGATACACAGAGAAATTTTAAGTGGTCCTAAAAATTTGGTACCTTTCATGTCATCTGGATGAGTATCTTGCTTAAGAAACAGCTAATACTGCTTCAGAAGTACTGCTTAATCACCTAAGGACTAAAAACCTGCAGTAACATTCAAGAAAACGTATAAGAAGTATGTAAAAATAAGGGAGTATTATTGTGTGAGAAACTGTCTTGCTAAGAATGTAAAAAAAAATAGTAAATCTCACTTACCAGATCCATCTGAGTAGGAGAAGACAGAGAGAAGGAGGCTCTGACATAAGAACTTGGCTCTGAACTATTGATATTAAATGCTCCTCCAGGAACCAGTAATACCTAAGAAAAATTAATTAGCTACACATTTATTACCACTTCTGCATTTTTAAAACACTACATTAAATTAAATTTGAGAAGGCTCAGTGCTTAAACACTCATATCAGAACATGGCATAATACATTTCTTCTCTTCAAAATGAGGAGACAAAAATATGCAACCTGTGATCAGACTTTTCACAACAAAATCAAAAGGTCTTGGGTTTTGGTTACCTAGGCTGGTGGGTTACTGGGTCAGGCATATCATCACAATGTTTAGAAGCACCAGTGAGGTAGGGTGTAGTTTACTCAGTACACAGTGCTTATAAATTGTAGAAATAAAACCATAATTAATTTCTCTTATTAAAACGATTTAGTAAAGAGCCATCATACATGTAGCTACATATATATGGGCAACAAAGACGGTGAAGGGCCTTGAGGGGAAGCCATATGATGAGTGGCTGAGGTCACTTGTTCTGTTCAGCCTGGAAGAGACTGAGGGGAGACCTCACTGCAGTTACAACTTCTTGTGAGGGGAAGAGGAAGGGCAGGCACTGATCACTTCTCTGTGGTGACCAGTGACAGGACCCAAGGGAATGACCTGAAATTGTGTCAGGGGAGGTTTAAGTTGGATATTAGAAAAAGGGTCTTCACCCAGAAGGTGGCTGGGTACTGGAACAGGCTCCCCAAGGAAGTGGTCACAGCACCAAGCCTCACAGAGATCAAGAAGAATTTGGACAATACTCTCAGGCACATGGTGTGACTCTTGGGGATGGTCGTGTGCAGGGCCAAGAGTTGGACTCAATGATCCTTGTTCGTCTCTTCCAACTCAGAATAGTCTATGATTCTGTCATTAATATTATATATATATATATCTGTTGTATACAGGACATATTGTACTAAATGTTATAACAGTTTAAGTAAATGGATTAAATATCAACATCTGAAAACAGACATGAATGGATTTTGTTAATAAGTAACTATGCCACAATGCCTGACTCGCAGACTCAATAATGATGCATGACAAGTTCTCCTGCTTTTTTATGTGTGCATATATGTGTGGATAGACAGATATTTTATCTTTCCCACTTTTCATTTTAAGATCATAAGCCATTAAATCATAGGTCATACTTCTTTCTGCAAAGCTTTTTCCATTATCAGCTGCTGTGTATCAGAAATACCCTTAATTTTGATCCATAAGAACATGCCAGCAGCAGGAGTGTACCATTCAGCCAAGCCTGGAGAGAGAAAGAGAGAGAGAGAGAAAATGGAATCAAGGAAGAAACTTATGCCCCAATTTTAACAGATACATAGTTTCAGTGATATTGTGGATTTTTTGTTCCAATGAACTGAAAGGGAATGCAGGCCACCGAGCCAGGCTGCCACTTTCCAAATTTAAAGTACTCGTACCTGTAAGGGCCTACTGCACTTGTGCTGGTAACCTCAGTACGTTTTGTGAAAGTGATTCCTCTGAATTATAGATATCCCAAACATTAGCAAACTATATTTGTTGATTACTTTCAGATCAAGTAAACAATCTAAAATAATTTTTCTGTTGCAGTTTCTCTTAATATGGCACAAAAGTGTTTTAAGTTACAATTAATATTGATTTTGTCCCTAAGGAAAGGACAGCCTAAGAGTTACGAGGAGATGGGAGGTTTAGAAAGGATTTATCTGCAGACTTACTGTATACCTTTCATTTACTTAGAATGCTTTATATGGTTTTGGACATATTTTTTAAAGAACTATTTATTTGACTTAACATCTTCTTCTCCAGTTCTTCCTCAATGTATTTTACCATTACATATCTACAAAATAAAGGTCTGTCTTCCATAATATTACAGTTTCTTTTACTAGAAAACATGAAGACCCTGCAGTCTTTTACAAGAGTGTATTCTCACAATATACTTTACAGTATCCTGTGCTATTACCCAAGTTTTGGAACTTGGGGAATTGAGACAAAGGGGGCCTATGTAGGCCAACAACCCATGGTTGTTCAGAGCAATATAGAAAAACATATAAATCACCTGGAATTAGCAGGAGTAAATACATTAATGACTGTGTGGTGCCAAAGTACCCATGCCCCATGGAAGTACCACCTAGGGTAGGTGGGCAGTTCTTAAGCAGTTATTGCTGATTCTACTTACACTGACTAAAGGCAGTGAGCAACTAAACAGGACTGCATTGCTGTTGATCAAATTCTTTCTGTGCTCTATGGTTAACCACAAAAGGGGACATCTGATATTGACTGATGTTAATTATCATTACTGCTGCTGTAGCGATTGTTTGTATCTCCTTTTAAATTAAGGTCACTATTTCAGCGATTTTTTAAAGACAGAGATTTTAAATAGAAAAAGTATAAGAACATAATGAAGTGAAATACATGCTCTTTTAAAAACTGCTTTGCACTGTAATGTGGTGAGCTTTTTCCCATCTCCTTGTTGCACTAGAAAAGCATAAAAACAACAGTAATAAATAATTTGTCCTAAGCTTAATATTTAATGTTGTTGATTTGCTTATAGTGCTTATCTGTCACTTCAGTCAAGAGATGAACTTAAGTGATTTTTCTTGAGCATAAAGATGATATATAGCTGGAAAAAAATTTAAGTAATTATCTCTGTTGCACTCTGACCTTTTAACCACTTGTCAGCAGCAACGAGCATTGCATCCCGCTGGGTCCTGTAGAAATCCACCACTCTGAAAGCAAATTATCAATTGAAAGTCAGAACACATAGTGTTTCAGAGTCCATTTGTTTCCAAAGGCAAAACCAAAACTTTTCTACTTGAACAACCTAAGTGCACATTTAATAGAAATATAAGCATATCCTAGATGGGCACAACACAGTATACTGTGTGTATAACACTTTGCATATGTATCAGAGAAATCTTCAATGCTACAGCACACCTCCAACAAAGAACTGATCAACCAGACAGAAGCAGCCCTCTGTGGCTGCTTCTTAAGCTTTATATATATGGCATGGGAAGGTGTTATATATTATACTATTCTGTCTATTATAACAGTAGATACAAGTCCTGCTAGCAATATTTACTGCACAAAACAAAGGACTTAAACATATGCATAAGCACAGACTCAGTGTCTGTGCATTTGTGTTGAATTTGTGTAACAGGTACCCATGGAAATGGCATTTGACAAGGTAAAAAGCAAATCATATGATAAACCTGCCATAATTATTCGACAATTTTCCCATTTCTAAACTTTTGAACCTATTTGACAGCTTCCCCTATTCTAGACTTTTGAACCTATGTCCTTTACACTTCAAGTACAACTTTCAAGTAATTCAATCATTTACTGGAGAAAATGGTCTTAACCCAAATTTCAACATGGATAAATCATGTGCAGTGGCTTTTGTTGATATAGAATAATGCAGCTGTGCAATGGAAGACACAAGAGAAATGCCTGATACAGAGTTCATAAATCAGATGTAAACATGTTCCCATCTCTGAAAATATCCTTAGTAATTTTCATAATTTCAGATTTGTATTTTTAAAATAAAATACAAATTTTATTTGCATAATTTTACATTTGGTTTTTTTTAGATAAAATACAAATTTTTGTCTGAACCAATAGCTTTGATTTCTGGCTGTATTTTATTACACCTGAAAGACAAACCCCAACACCAATAGCTTTGGAACTCAACCATACCTATTGCTACATTATGTATGAAATGGCAAATCTCACTTGTGCAGTTTTTACCAAAATTGCAAATTCCATTGCAAGCTTTGTACCTTTGTGTTACAATTTTACTTCCATGTTGGAATGAAATGATAAGAATTAGTAAGACAATGCTGCCCCAAAAATGTAGCTTCTCCATACAACAGGCCAGGTCCTACTCAAAAGCATGATCTAACAACTCAACTTTGTACTAATGAAATCACCTGGAGGAGGTTCCAGTCAGCTGTCAGGCCTCATCAATATCACCTGACAACTGCCTTTAAAAGGTTTTAAAGCATTGCAGCTACCTTACTGCAATCCTATTTTCCTTAGTTCAAGAGGAAGAACAACCTTCTGGCCTGAGAAAAGCTGCCATTTGGCCCACAAGAAGAAGGTAAGTGCTGAGATGTATTTGGGATTTTTTTTTTTTTTTTGGAACTGCTGTAAGTTGAGCTAAAGTGTGATTTAAGTTTCTCTGTGAAACTTATCTTTATATTCCTAATTCTTAAAACAAGGCAGTGCTAGGGCTGGTGTGCCAGTTTTTGGTTTTGTTTTTTTTTTTAAGTACTGGTGTTTACAGTATGAACATCAGGTAGGTGCTCAGAGGACAGAAGTGGCTGTTACAGTGATATATAAGAACTTTCTGCATGCTTTGCTCAGATTCCTGTTACAAGCCTTTACAGAGTATAGCACACTCCCACTGAAATAGGAAGGTTGAGGCTCTAATGATATCTAAGTATAGCATCTAAAACGAGGTACTGATATTCAAAAGAAACTATGCTCTTTCTGCATAATAAATGAAAAAAAAAGTGTATCAGTTAGTATTTAGGAAATGCCTTACTGAGTTAAACTGTAGCCCAGCACTCTTGTCTCCAAGAGTGGTGAAGAAGACAATGTTTGGTGTGTGTAGATGAACTTCACTGCTCTCTAGAGGTTTTTCAATCAGTATCCACAGTCATGAGATCAAGGATGTTAGAAGGTGAATCTCTGCTGCTGTAGTGAGGCAAGAGCTCCCTTTATAGAGGCTGATTCTTTCTCAAAAAATTCTGTGCTCAGTGATCTTAGCATTTGCTTTAGACCCTATCACTTTAGCAGGGATGAAAACTTTATTCGCTGACTTGAAGCTTCCAGGATCCTCTCAAGTTCTCTTCAGATGGGAGCTGCATAATGCCTGTGCCACTGGACTGGTAGATGGTTTGCCTGTAGTGGGAGGAGACATGCCCTGACCTGCATGTCTGCAACTTCACACTGAGTTTCTTCAGGGCTCTAGCGTGAACTTGACAATCTTGGTGACCTGCCTTATCTATTTGGCCTAATACTGATATATGTCCTTTGACTTGTTTACTGCAAAGAATGTTTGATGTAGGTAACAAGTAGCAGAATAACAGATTATGGGATTAAGCATATGACATGACCCTACCTGTCAATATGCTCCAAGAAACCCTTTTGTCCCCATTGATGAAGCAGCTGCGATATCATAATCTAAAATAAAACACATCATCAATACGATGTTTTAAACAGAACTCTTCCACAGTCATCAAAAAATACATAGCCAGATACACTATTCGAAATTCCTCAGGCATGAAATTGCATGCGGTGTCTCTTGGAGCCCTTTATAAGACAGAGGTGCCAACAGCAACAGGCCATTACAGTATCCAAGGATCATGGTAGCATTGGGAGGTTGGGGTGGGAGGAGGGAAAAATGGATGGAAAGCTAATTATGGTAATAAGGGAGAAAGAGGAAGGCAATGTATATTGCTTTACCTTCCTGTCCATATCAGCCTCTTCACTTTAATAGTGCCTCTGTGATGAACTAATAGAGCTGGAAGATGGAAGCCATATTTAGTTGTGTTCAATGTCTCCTTTCCTTATCACTAACAATAAAGGGGCTGTAGTTGGCAGCCTGCTTTGTAATGTCTTTTGGGCTGCCAGTGTTGTTCTAATTGCAAAGCAGAATGAAAAAAAAAATGAGTGCTTCTTCCAAGGTATGCTTTACATTGAGGTTTTCCAAATGAACCTACTGGGAAGAGATATAAAGTATTTCAAATCTTGATTCTTGCAATCTGAGGGTTAAGGGATATTAGCTGTGTTATCCATGCACTGAGACAACCTTCTGCCTCTGGTTCTAAGTTCTGTGGTGGTCTCTCTTCCTTTAGCAGAATTGACAATGAATGTGCAAAAAGAAAACTGCAAAAGTGCAGAGCAACTGTGAAAGTGCAAAGGTATTTGCTAATGAAATATATACTTATAACTTGGAATATATTGTCTTTTCTAAATACAATGCAGATGGCAGTTTGGTACTTGCCTGGGTGAAAGTGCTGGTGTGCATTGTTGAAACCTGAATATGTAGAACAACTCTGTCAATAAGAGGCTTGGGACCTGTCAGAAAACCTATTCTTAACCTAGAAGACAAAATAGAAAAAAGTTACTACAGAAATGCAATGTGCTAATACTTTGTGTGAGTTTGTCGTGGTTTGAAAGCCTCCAAAAATCCAATTTCCAGGCTCCCCCACAATTTGCCTCAACGTGAAAGAGAAGTTTTCAGACAGGCACAACTCAGCATGGGGAATTATACCAAAATTTATTACTAACAGAATAAAAACTATAGAAACTAAAAAGGAAATAAATACACAGTATTAATACAATTTCTACCACCCCCGAGGGCCCTCCCACATCAGTTCAGAAGAAAAACCTTCAGGGCAATAGGTAAAGTCTCTCTCACTGGGATATCAGGGAAGGGGTCTTTTGCACTCCCACCAGCTCCGAGGTCTCCTCCTGGACTGCAAGGGAACACTTGCTGCACCAGGTCTTCATCACAAGTTACAGGGAGTCGGCTTTTGAGTCCTTTTCCCCTGGTTCGTGAAGGTTCCTCTCAGGAGGTAAGATTCAGGGACTTCTCCACTTTGAGTCCACTTTTCCTCCCCAGCTTGCAGGGTTTCTGGGCTTTTGCTCAGTCTTTTATACCCCAAATAGTTTCACCAAAGTCCTTACCCAGAAAAAACCTGCTTGGTTTGGCTTCTCTCTGTTTCAGCTGCAGCATCAGCTTGACTTGCCACACAGCATTCCTCGTCCTTCGGTTTTGGCTGCCCTCGTCCAAACCTAACGTAGGGCACCTCCGAGCCCCTCGGCCCGTCTCTCTGTTTTTATTTCAGTCGCCTCTTCCCCTGCCATGGTGGGGAGGAAAGGTGGCAGTGAGACTGCTTCAGTCTCTCTCCCCTGCTGGAATTCTTCCAGCTCTGCATGATCGCAGCTGCTTCTTCAGCTCTGGGCCACCCCTTGACCCGTCTCTGGCTCGGCTCCAACGGAAGCACCTGCCTGCCAGGGGGGCTGGCTCCAACCCGCAGGCTGGCCTCTCAAGTCCATGCCACTGCCTCTCCTGGGCAGTGGGGGGGATAAAAAACCCCTAGCCTTTGGCCACAGGCACTCGGTCCAATTATATTACTGTTCTGGGCCCCCCTGCAGCCCGGCTGGGGGGGAAAGAGGGCCTGGCTCCCTGCAAGGGACCTGCAGGCCTGTCTCCTCTGCCTCACCTCATGGTTTTCATTCTTTCTCTCTCTGCCAACAACTTCCCCCTGGCTTTTCACGGGGTGAAAAACAGCTCCGATTGTCCCCTCATCAGAAACTCACCTGGGACCAACCACTTCTAGCCCCCCCCAGGGGGGTCAGGTCAAACTATGACAGAGTTGTATGTAGGAAAACATGTAACCATTTCATTGATAGTGTAAGGATCTCTTACACATTTAAGTTTCTCTGTATCTTAATACTGCCCTAAGCCCCAGGCTTATGCAATTTAGAAGCTGAGTGTCAAAGTTATGAAATAATAACAAATAAGGGGCTTTAATGCTTACAGTAGCTTCTTAAATATGAGGCTTCTGGACATATTCTGTGTTTGTAAGCTTTCCTCTGCAACCATAAAGATTACATAAACCAAAGGGAAGGAAAGAGGTTCTCACACAATGAAAAATCATGAATGCTCAGGCTTTATGACAACAGATGAGAAGTGGCAAATGGCTTTACTCTTTCACTCCCTTTCAGTACTGCAGAAGAAATGGAATTAAATTGATAAACTAGATTATTTACACTTCAATTCTTACTACCCATCTTTACACATTGGCTGAAGTTTTTCTTTGAAGAAAAATAGAACCAGTAAGCTCACATGTGTCTTTGGCAAAGATAAAATTGCATCGTGCCATTTTATAGTGTCATTTCTGGAAGTGTAATCACACTTATCATCATGTTGTCTCCTCACATTCTCAAGGATGAGGTTATAAACAAAAGAAAGTTTAAAAATCAAATATTTCAACTAGCGTGAAACGGAAAACAGCCAACTTATTTTTTTCAGGCAGGTGGAAACAACCTGAAAGAACTGTAGGGCTAGATATAAGTATAACCCTATGAATAGCTTGTGAAGAATGATGTCATCATCTCTTTTTCTTATTACAACTTCAGTGAGTCTACAGGAATGGTAAGAGATAGAAAGAGAAATGGAAAAAGAAGAGAGAAAAGCTCCTAGGAGTTCCAGGAACATAGCTAGAATCCAGCATCTGTCTTTCTGCCTAGATGGTGTCTGCAAGAATGGGTTGCCTGGGGACAGAGGCTTAAGTATTAGTATCAGAAGAGAAACAGAATCTGGAGTTAAATTACTGCCAAGAGATGACATGAAAAGTGAGCAGACTGTGAAAAGCTGTGGATTTAGAAGTTCATTCCACAAGTGGATAGTTATTAGATGAAAAACCACTATGACATGTCTGATCATCTTGTATAAAGACTTGTGCCTTAACTGAATAGGCAATGCTAAGCAGTCTGCAGTTGGCCTTACCCAGATGAGAGAACTTTAGAGAAAGAGTCGGTCCTGATAACTCGACCATCCGCATCCATTGAGAGGAAAGTTGGAGCCCATGGCTTGGAATAAAAATAAAAAATAAAATTCAAGGTGCTAGTAAGGACTAAGATGGAATTATTTTCCTTACCATGAAGACATAGTTCATTTCTAAAAGAAATATTTTGATAACAAATATTTTACAGATGTGCATTCCAAGGAAAATATTACAGTAACTTGCTGACAAGTGATTGTTTAGGCTAGCTGTCTGAGATGTGATTTCAATATTCTATGAAAGTCTTCAAGAAATCAGCCTTGTTATTTTTTGATGCTTACTTAGCCCACTGTTCATCATACAAGTGCTCAGTTCAAGTTTTGGTATGATGCCATAAGACGGAGTGAGAAATAATGATTTTTCTGCCGAGATTTCTTTGTGGAGTAAACAGGTACTGTGACTTCTAAAATGGAGTCCTGTAGCTTTTTCCTTTGCTTTTATTAAAAAATGAAATCAGAAGATGTGACCAAATTGTGATGATCTGAGTTCAGCATACTTTTTACTTATCAAGAATTCTGCTTTTACACCTTCTCCCCTACACTTTCTAACAAAGCTACACAATAGTATTCAATACTATTCAGTGAAACTGTTTTATTGTCTCCTCCCATAAAAATGTATTTCAAAATAGAAAATACTGAACTTTAGCTTCTATCCATGTTTTACTGGTTTATAAGACCAATTTTCATTTTAGATGTTAGGCACTTTTGCAGATGGTGCAACTGTAGATTCACATGTGAAATCTGGGGAAAATTTACATGAAGAAGGGAAGCTACCTATCCAGTACCACTTTCTGTGGTACCTGGGAAAACTCTCTTGGGTTTTCCAAAAGGCAAAGGGGTAGAAATGGGGTACAGTAGATGGGGGCTTGGAAGTCTTCTGCTGAATGAAAGAATAGACTGGTCTGAAAGGACCACTAAGAGGCTGCAATTTTCAAGTGCTGCTTCAGTGACATGCTTTCTTTCTGACTTCTGAAGGAAATTCTATCCTGTGTGAGGCTTTAGGAATTTGAACCGCTGCTTAAAAGAACATAAAATGTCACAAAGGGGACAATGACTGAAAGGGGAAATGACTGTGAGGCCTACAACTACCTTGGTAGGACATGAAGAAGGAGCATCCATGGCTCAAACCTTAGTTCTCTCCTGGACCAGAAAATAAGGTGTTAGTAAGGATTATGGAAGACAAATTACCTTTTCAAACTGAAGAAAGTAGTAAGGATCATCTTCTATTATGAGAAAATCATATTTTCTTGCAAGCTACAGAAACGAATAAAAAGTAAAGATCTGTTATAAGATAAAGACACTGTAAATTCATTCTGGTTTGTGTTTTTTTTTTTTTCCTTACCAGGACTGTATTATGATTGGTCATTTATTATATACAAGGCCCCATCATGAGAAGCTTTCAAGTGCCCATTTTAGACATGAAGCAATTATAAGAGTAAACACAGTATCCGTAATACAAGGACCCATGTATGTAACTGGAGCTCTGTTCCATGTAGCAAACTGTGCAGGCAGCTTGCAGTAAGTCCAGTTAGAAGCCCACAGCAAAAAGGTACCAGCCATCAATGGGCTACTATTGAAAAACAATTTATCTAATGCGTAGTCCACCTTTGGAGAGTCGTCATGAAAGAGATTCTGCTAGAAACAAGTTCTAGGAGGAACGTCTACTGGACCAATAATGGGCCCAAATACCACATGAGTATCCTCAACTGAATCGAGACTGACATTTATTTATTTCTACCTACAAGGTTCACAAGGCCCCAGCTACATACCTGGTAAATCTCCTTCTTGCGCTCTGTGCTCAGAGAGTTGCCGGTTGGGTTGCACCCATTTGGAATAGTGTACAGGAATTTAGGAAGGTGATGGCTATGATTTTTTACATCTTCTGAGCTCCAAGTAGACAGAATTTCTTTTAAAGCTTTTGGAATAATGCCCTGTTGGTCGCTAGGAACATTAATTATATTACAGCCCAAGGGTCTCAGCTGTTGATAGAAGGAACAAAACTGTCACAATCATGTAATTCAAAGGTCTTCCTTTTGTCATTGGTGTTGTAAAATATCATCAATACAGAGACTGTCTTTCTAATTTTAGAGCTACCTCAAACTCCATTTGCTCATAAGTCAAAAGAAAGTTTGCCTGAATTTGCTGTAAAGCTTGTCAAACTTTCCACATTACTCTTTATTTGCCCTATTAAGCAAACTGAGAAGAAATGGGTAACTCCTATGTTCAATTGCAGCTTTTTTCTAGGAAATCATATGTGGTTTTGCAAGCAGAAAGGGATTTTGTAAATGTGAACTGTGTTCTCTTGGGATTCCTCATGCTCTCACTGCAGACAGTTAAGTTCATAGTACCTTCGCTTCCTACTGACAAGTTATGCTCTACTTCAGTGGAAGTGCCAGAACTATAAGCTATCCTTCACTGACAAAGGGCAAACAGTATGTTCGCAATAGATATATTCAGCAATACAAAGGAGAATGAAATGATGCTACTGCAATGACATGTTGACAGCAGTATGAAAAAATATAGGTAAAATACCGATGAAAAAGCTTGCTGTCTATCCTCTGTGGAATTTCAATTTGTACCATGTAGTGCTCTGCATTTTTAAGTAAAAATGCAAGCTGCTGCATTGTTAAAATACATTTCTAACAAAGTACAGCTGATTAGACAACATATATTTAAATTTAGCACAGGAAACAATAACAATTTCTTTTAATGCAGGGGGGGACTACACTGAAATTGTGGTGTATTATTTATTCTAAGCCTTCTTACAGCTTTTAAACGTTTTGAGCTGACATTTAATTTTATACTGATTAAGTTACTTGTCAGAAGGAAACTGTGTTACTTTTGTATAGTTCTGACTAATTCACTTCTTCATACTCATATATGAATGTTTCAGGCCTATTCCAATCTTACACTATTTATAGTTATGGTATAATCTGGTGATGAAATACTTCAGGTGACTGTGCTAACATGTTGAAACACCCACTTGTTACAATCTTGCTTCAATTCAACTAGGTCCTGATGTCATTTCTTTCCAACTCAATCAAATGTGACCTTAGCCCTTGAATGAACTCAGATTTGGAAGAGGAATTTGGAATAGGTTTTATAGAACTTCCAGTAGAAAACCCTCTATGAATTAATATTTATAAATATTTAGAGTTGAACTCTAAAATCTTGATTCTTAGATACGTTTTTATGGTAAATGCAAACAATCTGTATAAGACTGCAGATCAGGTACTAAATTGCTGTTTAGTTCAAATGTAACATTTACAGTGTTTTGTAGCTAATGAATACTTACAGCTGCTAGTGTCCCAGGGTATGTGGGTGCATCCAAAAGGATGTTGTCCCCAGGATTAATGAGCATTTCAAACACCTGTAAAAGAAAAGTCTATTTTAGAAATATTGCTACATTCTTGTACATGTGCTTATATTTCTGACTACTTAGTGCGACTAAAAATCTTGATTAGATATTAGTAATTCTCTAACCATTTAATTATCCTGTCTGTGAGAAAAGCAGTGAACAGATGAAAAATCTGCTTTACAGCCAAATTAAGCTAGGTAATCAATTAGAGAATACTGATTTGACATGGAAAGATAGTGCTCTGAAGCACTGTTTCTGTTGTATAAGTTACAGAAAGGATCAAATGAACAGTGAGAGTGGACTTTAAAGGGTAATTATTTCATGAAGTTAAAAAAAACCCCTGGAATTAAAAAGAAGAAACATGTTTAGAACAGAATTAAGGTAAAGCAAATAATGCGTCTACGTGCTTATTACTGCACCACTTGAATAACATGGAATGTTACATATTTTCTGACAGGCTCTTTGGCTACTGGAACATTCATGTGGTCCCAACAGATTTGAATGCCACACCAATTTTGTTTCAGTTCCGTTATCTTGTATTGATAATACTGTCAGACATTCATTTAACAAAGTACCCTGCACATACTTATAGAGTGGCACTTAATGCTGATACAAATGAACTGATGCGGGAATAAACATCTCTCTGAATGAAATGCTTTTAATATATGAAGCTTTCAGTCTTACTTTACACAAGCCTTCCTGGCTGCCGGTTGTGACACACACTTCCATTTGTCCTTGCTCAGGACTGTAATTGGCTGTGGGGGGATCATGTAGGCTCCGCTGGAAATCTTTCAGCCAAGACAACAGCTCTGGAATCCTGAAACATGAATAAGAAGGATCTAACATCTTATACAAGCCAAAGCTAGGCTGCTTCTCTAAATCACTGCCAAATCTAGCACACAGTCCCGAGTCTGCCACACAGATACACTTAGATGTGATTTTTATGACTGCTTTATCAAATTATGCAAATGAGATGGGCATCTGTGGTCCATACACCAAATTATCATACTGAAGTCTTGGTAGAAATTATTTGCCAAGGATGAAACAGGGTGGAGGTTGAACAGTATCCACTCCTACAAGTGATCATTCTGTACTCAAATTTGGCAATGTGACAAAGCTCTCAATGCTGCAGATTAAAAGGATTTCTGAAACAGATTTTTTTAAAAAAGTCTTAAAACCCATAGGATGTTCACAAATGGTTGGGTTCATGTAAATATTAAGAAAAGTCTTAACTGATTAATGCCCTGTGTGACTTTGTAGGTACCCAAGTATTTTTTCAAACCTGTCCCAAGCCTGACTTAGTGCTGCCTGCTGGGGAGTTCACGTGAGCACTAAGTAATGTAGCAATATGCAATTTTCTTACCAAAGTTTTGTACCAAAAATGACACAACTACAAATACCTCCACTTCACTACCACAAGTTGTACATACTGACTTTAATATATGGTGCCAAATGAAAAGAACATAAATACTCCAGAATGTGGAAACTACGTACTGTAATGCAGTATCTTTTAATTAATATCTGATTTGGGAGTCTGGATTCTCAAATAATAACAGCCAGGAAATGCTCTGGCTTGAGAATTACTAGGATTAGGGTTTTAGAGTGAGGCAAATTGTAAGATACCTGTTTTTTGAAAGAACATGCTTTTGGAAAAAAGGGGTTTATGAACAGGTTTTAAAAACACAGGTGAATTAATGCAATAACAAATGATATCATGATCCTTTGATTCTGGCATCTTGAAGTGCAAGTAGCTGTGACAGATACCCTGCTGAGGCTGAGTACTGAAGAGCTCTCTTCATCAGATCTTCCCCAATCTCAATAGGAGTTCCATGTCCAATGTCAACAGTTGCCCTCTTAAATGGAAAAAGGTTAGGATTTGGTGCTCCTCCAGCCAGAGAGATGAGAGATGGAGGAGATTTCTGCATCAATTCAGCTAGATTAAAAGGAAAACACCGTGGTTACAAGTTGATTATTGCAACGCTGATCCTATCCTTTAGTCAATATATAATAATAGTCCAGAGGAATTTGTTCCATATTTCCCTTTTTTCACTATCTTGAATTAAAAAGGATAATTCTTAAACTTGTCTTTGTTTTGACTAAAAAGGTGTTTGGGGAGGCAGGGAGGGAGATACTGGCAGGAAAGACTAAGAGAAAAAATTATCTGAAGTTAAACTATAATTTCTTTTAAAACAATCTGGACTATTCTATTATTAAAACTTCTGTGACTGATCTTTTGAGCTTCAAGAATTTAAAATCTTAATGATCTGTTTAGACTGATTTGAAATGACTGACTTTATTTTTTGTTCAGTCTCACTTCAGCTGACATGGCAGTAATGCAGCTATGCTGACAGATGATTATAGCTTTTCTATAACGGAGTGGAAACATTTCTGTCAGCCTTGTTTTAGTGGCAGAGGCCACTAAATAATGCCACTGTATAAGTAATTCACCATGAAAAAAAATCTTAACTCTTGCTTTAAAGTCAGAGTTTCACAATCACTCAGATCCAATCTATGCAGTGCAGACTGGACTTTAATCCAGCAAGGGCACTTGACTACATTAAATCTAAGAGCTCACAAGATGGCATTCATGCTGGCTTGACAGTTTTACATGAGACATGAGAGGAGAGATGACACCAGATCTGGCTTAAAGCCTCCTGTTCTCAAATTTATTCTCCACTACCTATTAGCAAACTAGAACATGGGGAATTAATTCTTATCAGTTAGTACAACAATATGGGTTATGCCTGTAATATTTGGCCTGGTAAAGAGAGATTTACTTTGTCATCAAAACTGCAGTCTGAATGTGTCTTTCTGCAGGAACTGTGCTACTTATAATTTGCGCTATGATGTGTATCAACGTATCACTTGAAAAATAGACTATCTAGAGTGAATTACTTGACTTAGTTGTACCTATGTGAAGCTTTTTAAGCAGCACAGCAAATGCCAGCCCCTTACCAAGAGAGGAAATTGACCCCTGAAGGCTTAACTGCTGATGTATGTCTCATGCTCCAGTTCTGGCAGGTCTCCATAGGTTTCAACTGAGTAAACAAGTAGGCAGTTAACCTTTTCTATCTGTCACATGGAAGACTGTAATGTGGTAGCCTCCAGGTAGTGTAATATGGAAAAGGAAATTGTAGTAATACTGAGAGGGTGATGGTGGTGAGGAATTTATGGACATAAACAGGATACAGGAAAGCTAGGTGGAAAGAAATATTATGCTGGGACTGAATTTCAAGTCATTAGGAGTTGCTTGTTTCTGGACAACCAGTGTAAACACGGTAGCAAATTGTGGTCAAAGCCCTGGCTCAGAGACAGTAGCAGAGATTTTTCAGACACTTGTTGAAATGATAATACCAATTCTTCTCTCTGGATGGGTTTCTGAAATGGTTCAAGGCTATTTACTTTGTCAAGTTGAGACAACAAACAGGTATAAAGAAAAACAAAGTCAAAGCAGTTATTTGGCCTTGCTTGTCTGCTTACAGCATGGTTTTCTTTCAAGCCTTTTGAAGTCTTTAAGCCATGATACCCCAGCAAAGACCAGTACGTAGAATGATACTCTTTCTGAGAAACTGGGAAGAATGGACATGTACTCACTCAGGACTCTTATCGGAGATGTTTTTCTTGCTGCACTCACAGCAGTGGTGAACCGAGAATAATTCATAGCTATATGGAAAGAGTAATTAGTTGGACATGAAGCTAGAAAAGTGAATAGGAACTGAAGTGTGCTTTTGGTATGTGTGTTTCCCACAAGTAATGCTTCCAATTCCTCATCTCCATAGATGTGCACCATCATAAACTACATGTGGACGTAATCAGGTTAAAATTAGCGCTGGAATCAATTGAAGGAAAAGGTTTCAACTTCATACTCTCAGCTTTCGTCACAGCCTCCCAATGACAACTGCACAGAGAGATTAGGTCAGAAATATGCTCCTTTTCTGATAAACACAAATAGCAGTATAGCTTTGACCTGAGGAATTTGTTGGTATGCCAGTGAACAGCAAAAAAAACACCTTCCCCCTCTCTTTACTGCCAGCTGTGGAGTTTTAAAGGCAGATGACAAATTTGAAGATTTGACGGATCTTAAACAACCATCAGCTCTTTCTTTATTTAATGAGGATCCAACTTTACTTAGCTGTATTAAGCATTGCATTTGAAATGTTTTTACATTTGCAAGCCATCGTTATAAGTCACAACACTTGTCAAGTTAGAGGTGTGGTTTGTTTTTTTTTTTTCAGAAAGGTTCACTCAGAATATCTTTCAAATGTGTCTGATGAGTGTTTCCCCCCCCCTTTACGCTGGTCCCCACAGAGATTCAGTGAATAGTGAACTACAGTCCAGCGGGAACTCTAAAGGCCTGGAAAGGCCACGGGAAAACATCTCCGCAGGGAACGGAAGCACAGGAACGAAATGGACAGGCAAACAGCAACCACAGCAACACGCATGTGCTGGCACTTATTAGAAGTGCTCTACCGAGCAAGGCCGCTTTAAAAAAAAACACCTCATGCTTTCAAAAAATACGTCAACTTCGCTCACCCCCTAGCCCGTCCCCCCAGCAGAGGCGCAGTGCTGATTGTACACACGGGCGGGCTGCGGCTGCGTTTTAAGGGATAACTGAGGAGGCGCTTTGCCGCCCTCCCCGAGGTGGTTGCCGACACACCCCCAGATACCCAAGTGCTGCCCAGCCCCGTCCCGGAGCGAGGACGGAGCCCCCAGGGCCACCCCGAGCTCAGACCCGCCGCCCCCGCTGTCCCGAGGGGACGGTGGCGGCCGCAGGCACCTACCGGCGGGAGGGCACGAAGCGGCCGGGCCGTGAGCGGCGGCGGCCCCGCGGTGGGAATGGGCGGGCCCGCTCGGGCGGTCGCTGGGCCGGCCCCGGGGCGGGGAGCGGGACGGGGCCCCGTCCGGCGCAGCCGCCCGAGCGCCGCAGGCGGAGCGGGGCCCGCGGGCGGTGCGGCCGCAGGAGCGGCGCGGCGGCGAGTGGCGGACCGGGTCCGAACGCCGATGCCCTGTGGATCCCTGCGAAAGCCGTGAAACACGCGGCTCCCCCGCTGGTTCCTTCTGCGTAGTGCCCGTGAAGCGAGGGCTGGAGCCCTTCGTTGCAGGGAGAGGCAGGTGCCGAGCTTTGGCACCGCCGCAGGGTGCAGCCAGGGCCGGGCACCAGCGCCGGGGCGAAGCAGGGGCTGGCCATGAGGGAAAACGGAGAATCACAGAATGGTTTGGGTTGGAAGGGACCTTAACGATCTGTTTCCAACCCCTCTGCCGTGGGCACGGACACCTTCCACTAGACCAGGTTGCTTAGAGTCTCATCCAGCCTTGTCTTGAATACTAACAGGGATGGGGCATCCACAATTTCTCTGGGAAACCTGTGGCAGTGTATCATCACCCTCACAATAAAGAATTTCTTCCTAACATCCAGTCTAAACCTACCCTAAGTTTGAAGCCATTCCCCCTTGTTCTATCACAATATGCACTTGTAAAAAGTCTGTGTCAAACTCTCTTGTAGGGTCACTTTAGCTGCTGTAAGGCTGCTCTAAGGTCTCCCCAGAACCTTCTTTTTTCCAGGCTGAACAACCCTAAATCTCTCAGCCTGTCTCCATAGGAGAGGTGCTCCAGCTCTCTGATCAGCCTTGTGGCCTCCTCTGCACTTGCTCCAACAGTTTGATGTTGGAGCTATGCTAGGGACCCCAGAACTGGATGCAGCACTCCAGGTGGGATCTCACAAGAGCAAAGTAGAGGGGCAAAATCACCTCCCTCAACCTTCTGGTCACTTATCCTCTAATCCATTTTATCATGTTTCCACTAAAGTTTCTGCTCATAAAAGGAAACAGTATTAAAATTAAAATTTGAAGTGGGACATCTGAAAGTAATTTTTTTGCCCCCAGATGAGTAGGATCAGTGCAAACAAAAGCAGGATGTGGTGTAATTTGTCCCCTCCTTGCTGAGTGTCACATGCTGTTGTTTGTTCAACAGGTGGCTGTAGCTGGTGCTACTTAGAAAGACACAAGAGACACAATGTCATTTTCTAGTCATGGCTAGACTTCAGCATTTTGGGATTGTCATGGCCCTTACTCCTGAGTGCAAGTTGGAAGAGAGAGATCTAGGTGTAAAGTAGTCTGAAAAAACATACAAGGACATGCCAAATCAGGTGTGATTTGAAATCTTAGTAGATAGCTTGGAGGCAGGAGCATTTCTGGGCTTTAAATTAGTAAATCATCAGGCTTTAAAGTGGCCAGTGCTCAAAGCACTTTTTAACTGGCACATTCCAAAACCTGTTGAAGGCAAAGCTGAGGTATGAGAAAAAAGATGAGGTGCCTTAAAAAGACACGTTTTTTCCTCTTTAATTTGGATGACTTTATGCAGCGTTTGGATCTGCTGAAAGGCTCCATAATTAGATGTAGTAGATTGAAATAGAAGTGAAGTTCCTACCCTGTTTGTGGTGTAGTGAGGAAGGATTGTTTGCTTAGTTGGCATGTGAATGCTCTTACACTGAAAATCGAATTTTATTAGCTTTAATGACCTGAAGAATTTCTAATTTAGGTAATTGCCTTCTAACAGTGTGATGTACAGACAAAAGTAAAAGATGGGTATATAAATGTGAAATAACACGTGGAGAGATACTGAACTTCTGTGGGGTTCTGGCTGTGAAAGATTGATTGAATCTCAGTTACTTTTCATGTGATTGTTTTTTCATTTCCAGGTTGTCAGTGTGGCACTGATCAATGCCTGGAGAAGTCAAAAGAAGGTTTTCCATTTATTTTTGTGGGCTTGGTCTGGTTCCTTAGCCAATTATGGTGTCACCCTATTGAAAAAAAAATAGTATGCAATTGTTTGGATGCATATCCCAGCTGGATTCATATGGCAGATATCTGCATCACTTTTTATACACCATAGCAAGAACAAGTTGAGTGCTCTGTTTTCCTACTATGTAAGAAGGTATACCTTTGTTGTCTTTGTTTATTACATGCAAACTTAGAACAATGATGATTTGCTGCAAGTCTTGCATGATTTATGAAGCATCAGTAAGGCCTACATATGGTTGTTCTTAATGAGAAATATCTCCTGTGAAACTGTGTAGTATGTGAAACTATACTACCACTTTCTAAAATCTCTACACACTGAGGCTAAGCTATGTTCAGTTATGTGTTAAAAAGCCAGCAAACAGAACAAAAAAGCCTAAAGCAATATGATTTAAGAAGAATAAGGAGATTAGGTAAAAATTATTACTGCACTGTTTTCTTCTCCCATAAGGACTCCAGAAATACCTAAATGGTATTTGTTTTTTTAAGAGGAGGAAGAGTTGGACAAGGAGGTGAGACAGTAAACACCAAAATTTAACCAAGTTGCTGTTTTTGCAACTGTATCAACTCCAGTCTGAAGTGTAAATCTCTCTAAGAAGCTGTGCTAAAGCCTGGGACGCTATAATTTTTGTGGTTTTTTTTTTTTTTTTAGTTTTATAGCATGTTTATTCTGTAAGATTTGAGTGCCCTATTTGAAGGGCTCATTTCACATCAATTAAATGTGAGTGTATGAAAAATATGGTACTGTCTGCAGAGGACCTAGTGGGGAGCAAAGCTGCTCTCGAAGGGTTAAAAGCTCGGCGGTGGTGGTCCAAGCGGTCCTCGGCTACCTTGGCAAAGCCGGACTCGCACCGGCGCTCGGTGGCCGCAGGATGGCGCGTATGCACCGCGAGTCCGGGCAGCGAGCTCGGCATGAATAGGAATTCCAGGTAAAATCATATTACCTCGTTGTATTTGACTGTAATTTCTTCACTGCAGGCAGCTTCTGAAACTAGAAATTAAACAGTCCTGCCTGAACAGGCTGGCTACCTCCTTTTCAGTGAATGGGTTAAATTTCGGCCAGTAATACTTCTTGCTGGTTGGGGACAACAGAACTGGAAAGTGGAGCTGTCAAAATAACCTTGCGGTGTGAAGGTGGGAATTTTAACATGACGAATTGGAATGGCTGCCCATGAGAAAATCGCATAAGACCGGAAAATGGAGAAGTGTCAGATCAGCCATTTTAACCATCAGAAGCAAATTGTTTCTGCCAAAGTCTGCTTTCTCCAGGAAAAATGCTGACTTTGCCAGTACCCTTCTGTTTGCAGAACACCCCCTGTATGCAGCAAGCCATCACTGGTGTGCAGCAGCCACTGAGATCAGGAAGATCTCAACAGTGCAGAACAGTTTGAATCTAGGATATGAACATCCACTGACACAATTACTGCAGAGATCAGAGGTGTCTCGTTTTCCTGTGGGAAGCTAAAACTGCTAGGAAAGTGTTGGCTCTGGAGAGAATTAGTGGAAGAGATGTGATGTTAGTTGCCCTTTGGCTTGTGGATTACTTGAGTGATTTCCTGATGTTTTGTCTCTCTTCATTGTAAGCTCTTGGGAAAGTAACACTTCTATTCTTCCTTTATGTAATGCTTTTTTCAGTGGGACCCTGATCTTGCTGGACTCTAATCAGATGAAACAAGTGGAATGTTGCCATTTGCTCTTCTCCCTGTCTTTTGAGGTGATTGCATAGTAAAACCTGTTTATAGTATCTTTGTCCAGGGTTTTAAGACTTGATGCATTCCAAAAAGGGGGAAGGGCTTAGGGAACAGTGAAGATTGATTCTCATGCAATTACAAATTAAACAGCAGCCTAGTCTCACCTATATGCTTTTCATGCCTGTTGACCATCTCAGATTTAGGAGGACACCCTGATGTTGTGCTTTCTGCTGCTGCTCATGTTATTACATCCCCCATCCTTTGTATTTTATTTTTAATATTTTTTTTCTGTAATAGCTGGCTCTGTATTATGATTCAGAGACTGTCAGATGAAAGTAACAGGACATCCATGGTATTCACAATATTTGTAGCAGCTATCAAATGATACTGTCTTAGAGTGGAAGACCTGCAGTTCTGCAGAGTGACAGCTGTGGTTTGTATGTTTGAAGCAGCTCTCTGCTTGAACGGTGGTTTCACCCAGACTTGTAGCAGTCTCACTGATTGGCAACCCTTCTCCCCCCTTCCTTTTTTTTTTTAATGTACCAGGACTGTCATCATTGCTTCCATCTTTGCCTTTTTATCCGATCAAGCAGATGGGAGAGTACAGTATCTAGGAAAACATAGTTTTCTAGATTCTAGTAGAAACCTCTAGAAAAGCTGACTTTCACAGTAACACATTTCTGAATAGCAGTTTCTTGTTTCAGAATGTGTTCCTTTGATAGAGTGTCTAATACTGTGAGATGTTTTCCTCAAACATGCATCAGACACTCCTGTGCTTAAAAAAAAAAAAAGGAAAAAAAAAAGCCAGGAGTGATATTTTTCAGATCACTTTGTCCATGCCATAGAAGCTGAAATTGGATGGAACAAAGATCAATAATGTATCCAGTTAATACACTAACGTATAAATGAAATGAATCATAAGAAATGAAATGACTTCTCCTGACAATCTCAAGATAAATACTGTTCCATAGTACCTCACTCTTGTCAATTTGAATTTATATTATAGGCAAACAGTTGCTGACGTGTGAACTCTATGGTGTAAATCTCCCAGGAAGTGGGTACTCACTATTATTTGCAACATATGTTATTCCCTGGGCTCAGCCTTTGTTATCCATTTTCATTTAGTGCAGACAAAAGAGTTTTTCTCCCCTGGCCTTGCATGTTCCTTTGTTCCTAGCAAGGTCACATGTTTGGCTGGTGCAAGAATGGCCTGGAAAAAGGAATGATCCTAAAGGCAGAATGAGATAATGAAAAAGTGAAATTGTTGCTTCATTCTTATCGTCACCTGGAGAAAATATACTTCTCAGGTGTGGTGACA